CCAAGACCAAGACCAAGACCAAGAGCCCAAGCCCACTGCCCACGCGCATTATCGTCGCTCTTTAAACGCCTCCAGCCACCCATCTCACCTCTCCTCTTCCCCATTTGCTGTCTACAGCATGGCGATCAGCTTTTATGACCATGGTCTCTATTGTTTATCTGCGCCTTCATGACCCTTGTCCAGACCTATATATACCCCTCAGCATCAGCAATTTATGCGTCTAGTCCATGCTGGTCCCTGCTCAGGTGGTCTGTCAGCCGCCGCCTCTGGTGCTAGCGCTATTGACTTGCTGAAGCAATTCGACATCGAATTCGCAGCTCCTCATGCTTCCCAATCTAATTTTCACAAAACATACACACCCTCAGCCTTCGAGTAACAGATTCCTGGAGCCTGTCGCACTTAGCGACATTGTTGTTTGTGATGCAGGGCGCCTTTCCCGTCATGATGAATCAGGGCGAGCGCAACGACCTCGGCGGCGCTCCCATGGTAATCCAGCAGCAATTTGCCAGGTACCCTGCATCGCTGGAACCGGGGTTGCATAGCGCGTCGTCGATTGGCAGCGCAAATTCGCAAGTCGCCAGCTCCAAATCTCCCCCGCTCCATCGCAAAGCGACTCCCCGCAGTATACAATCGTCGCCCACGGTCCCGCGCCCAGCTATCCCTCCGGGTCCACCTGTGCGCTCGGGGCCGTCGATGTCTCCTCCGGTATATGATCCCTCGCGCCAAAAACAGTCAGATGAAAACAGGGTCGACGTTCGATCTTTACCATCTCGCGAGATCACCGACGAAAACATTGACGATGCCTACATTCTTTTCATCTTCTATTGCAACCCCAACGTGCCCCTCTCCGCTGATTCAACCGAGTTGCGCAAAACCTTTCGATGTCCTCCCCGCAGCGACGGCAAGAGCTTTAGCATTTTTACGTTATGGGAACTAATCAAGAAGCTCGACAACAAGGAGCTTAAAACATGGATTCAGCTTGCGATTGAGCTGGGCGTTGAGCCGCCTGATATGGAAAAGAAACAAAGCACTCAAAAGGTTCAACAATATGCAGTGCGCCTGAAAGTATGCATCTCTTTTTCATGCTATGGTCTGTGGCTAACCGGATTCTCCTACTCCTAGCGTTGGATGCGCGCAATGCATGTCGACGCGTTTTTCGAGTACTGTCTAGGTCATCCGCACTCGTACTACACACAGTTGCCACCGAGTAACGCCGTGGTTAGCGACAGCCGTGACGGGGTCCCCTTGGAAGAGGATCTCGCCTTGCGAGCCCTAGTCCCTCAGTGGAAACCAAAACGAGGAAGAAAGAGGGCGGAGGAGAAAGATAACTTGAGCGAGAGGGCTCTAAAGAGGCCGCAACTCGACACTTCTGTTGCTACTTTCCAAGCAAACACATTTGCTGCCCATTCTCACGCATTTCCTCAAAGCGCTATTCCCTTCAGCGCGTTTCCAGATGATCTGGAACCGCACGACCCGTGGATTACAGCGTCCTCGTTCCCAACCGACGCGCCTACAGATGTGACTAGTACTCAACAGGGGCAAGATTTCCGCTGGAAAGCCGATCGTGAAGCGTCCCCTGCTGGTTATCCACAATCGGCCGTCATCCCGAGAGGCCATCACTCTTCGGACGTCTTTATTTCGACCACGGAGCCACGGTCTGCAGTTACACCATCCTCCGGAGATAAGTCCCGTTCTAAAAGACGACACGGGCCTGCTGTCTCGTCTGCCTGGCCTAACATCACGACTTCTTCTACTGGGAAGATGCGCGGCAGGCCTCCGAATAGGGGAACGATATCAGGGCCATTCTCGTCATTTCCTGTCAATCCCAACCGGTCTGATCCGTCTCATCTTCACAGCACCGAGGTTAGACCCTCACCCTCCATTGTCCTGCATCAAGATCCTACCAGTTCCCAATACAACCAATCCCCGACACCTTTGCATACAGGTGGAAAACCCAATAAGCTCCAGCTACAAGTACCCCAGCACTCCGGTGCGCCCGTCCGACTTGCGACCCCGCCTACATTACTTGTTAACGGGGTGACCAATCAGTCGGTTGCCATGAAAAACGGCACCACAAGTTCCCAAGCGCATGTGTCTGGTACAACTGCATCTAATATCAATCAGAGCGGTGTCCCCAGCACCGTAATAAGTCCTGATGACGTGATGCGAATACTCTCGGGCGAGCTACTACAGGCAAAGTTCATCGGTCGGCAAGTTCCTCTGAGTGTGGAAGAGGCACGGGCTCTAGCGTCCGTAGTGGTGACCGATCTGACGGTTTCATACTCCAAATTACCTTCCGACTGTGCTGCTCTAGCCTCAGCACTGCACCTTGGACTAGGACCGCACTTCGGTTATCCAGGGGTCGCGAAGAGCACAATGACGGTACATATCAAACCGAAACCTAGAATTACTGGTAGCTCCGCGACCCCGAACTTGAACCATGGCGCCATGGCCCCTTTATACAGCCTTTATTTTGAGCAGAGGTACGGATCAGGCATGTCGAGTAGAGTCTCGTTTGGAGATCTACACATTGGCAACTTCAGCAGCAACCCCTCAATAGCATCTGGCACATTCGACAACGTCCCACGGCCAAATGATGAACTGGACAACAATGTCGCTGATTTGGAGAGTTTGACTGACGCTGAATATGAAGTGGACGATGGAGAAAGCGTCATACCTGAAACGACATGGAAGCAGCGATACATGAAGCTCCGCGCACAAACGCAGAAGAGAGAACGATCCTTGTCTCAATACAAGCGCAAGATCCTCGAGTCTGTCATGGCAGATATATAAATAAGGCTTCCATTGAGAGCATGCCATATACAACGCATACTCTGTACACTGTCATTATACGTTCGTGCTACCTTTGCTGGTTTCTGAAATGCCCATATACCCAAGTTCTCTACATTTGCAGGTGATGGCTTACTTCTCATTTTTGATATTTCTTCACTTGGATACCCACTGAGCAATGTTAGTTTATGATTGCCTGAATACGAACAATGGTGGTGGACGCAGATAACTCAAATTCTTTTAGAGTCGAGCCCAAGCCCTAGGTGACCCCGTTCCCATGTAGACTGCAAGCGCACGAAACCAATCCCCACCACAATTCAAAAAGAAGAAACTAAAATCAAAATCATCCATAGCTCCTCGATCCCCATGAATCATTTTCAAAAGCAGTTGGGCCTTGAAAAACCATAGCCCATATCATGGCATCGTAACCAACGATCCAGAAAGCATCCCCCCTAAGCACCTCCATCCACAGCCTCACCACAACCCGCAGGAGCCACATCAGGCATTTCCTCCTCCGCCACCTCCTCCTTAACATTGACGTTGATGTCGACGGAGACATTATTCTGCATCTCCCCGTCCTCCTGCTCCTCCTGCTTCACAGCAGCCGCCGTCTCCACCTGCACCTTGACCTTCGCAGGCCTGCCCCTTTTCTTCTTGGGCGTGGGTTCCTTCCCATCGGCCTTGGCCGCGGGTGCCCTGCGCTTCTTGGGCGTTTTCTTGGGCGCGCTCGGGGCTTCAGCTTCGGCTTCGGCTTCGGCTTCGCCGTCGGCGTTGTCGTTGGCGTTGGCGTTGTCGTTGCTGTTGTCGTTGTCGTGCACGGGCTCGTTGGTGCCGACGTCGGCGCTGCTACTGCCACTGGCATTCGCGCTGGCTTTGGCTTCGCGGTGGGATTTCAGGAGGCGGTGGTAGCGCTTGGCGCTGTGGACGGAGTGGTTAGTTGGCTTTTGTTTTGCTATGGCAGGGCAGGACAGGGCATGTGCGTAGGGTGAGGGTGAGGGTGAGGAGGTAGACATACGCAGCACCGGCGGAGGTGATGTTGCAGTCTTGGGCTACGGCCGCGAAGTCGATCTGGTGAGAGGAAGACGGCGTGTTAGCTTGGCTTGGTCCCGGGTGCAGGTGAGGATGGGACTTACTTTGCTGCCGTCGGTACGGTTCACGCAGCTGAGTAGGAGCTCGACGTGGTCGTCTGCTGTGAGGGACATCTTGCCTGGGCCTTTGACTGACTGCATGTTTGCGGTTTGGAGTTTGTTGGTTGCTCGTGTGCTGGGTTGGAGATGGAGGTTTGTGGATAGCGAGATGGGGTTCTGGAGTAGAGGATGTCTCGAGGACGTGGTCGATAGAAGAAAGGAGATTGAGGTTTGGAGATGAAGACGGGTGAGCATAGACGGAGTGTATCTGGTAGAGGAACTCTCAGATGTAGGAATGAGGAGGGCCGGGGTCAAGAGTACAATGTAGATGTAAAAGTGAGAGCTGGGGGAAGAAAGAGGAGGTTGTTGTAAGAAGGCTCTGGGAATGCTGCAGTGTTCTACTTGTTTCCCTTTTGCACTGTGTTCTGTTTCTGTTGAGCTGCTAAGGCCTCTTTGGTGAAAGTGGAAAAACAGACGGCATATACGAACAGGCTGAATGCCCTTTATTGCTGAAACATATCCCATTGGCATGCTTCAACCTACTGATGATACGGCCCTGGATTAGGTGGGATACGGCGAGTTTGATTACCAGAATTCAAAAGGTCCATTCCATTAAAAGGTTTGTAGAGAATCAAGAAATCTTCAAATGGCCTGTTGCAAGTTTCCACCTCTAGGGTTCAAAGAACGCCAATACCCTATTCCTAGATGTGCTTCATAGTTGCCCAATACTTCAAGTGTGTCGGAACATGGTCGATAGGTTGAGAATGCACCATCAGGCTGTTTTATCGAATTCCCCTAGTCCACCATTAGCCCAGGCACTCAGCATCATAGACAGAATGAGCATATAGAAATAACATACCTTTGACAGGAACCTCGGCATCAGCGTCTGCCTCTTCACCACCAGAAGCACCGGCGTCATCCTGTTCGTCCACAGGTTCGGCGGCGACAGCCTTCTTGCGGCCTCGCCCGGCACCCTTGCCGGTCCCCTTCTTCGGTCTTCCGGGCTTGCGCTTAGCAGGAGGAGCCGCAGCATCTTCGCCGTCCTGCCCATCGCCGTTGTCCTGGTTATCGTCGTCACCAGGAGCGCCGGTAGCGCCGGTAGCAGCTTTTCTCTTCTGCGGACTGACTTTGGCACCCGGGTCGGCCGTGGTGCACTCAAGTCCAGTAAATCCGTACTTTTCGCGGAGGGCACGGAATCGGTTACCCACGCTTCTGACGTTGCTGTAGTTGAGAGCATTCGCAACGCCCACGAGGTTGACCTGGGTGTGTGTTAGCTGGTGTTATCTGGCTTGTGGATTGGGCCGGTCTGTCTTGGAAGGCGGGTTTCTGTCTTGTTTGGACTTTGCTTACCTTGCCGTCGCGGATGTTTCGAAGACATGCGAAGCCAAATGCAGCGTCCTTAGCATCAACAGCGGAGTTGTCTGTGGTGGTGGGTTGGGCGGAAGACATGGTGGCGATGGTGGTTACCGTGGTGCGAAGGGATTTTGGTTTAGGTATTAGGTTAGATTAATAGAGGAGATGGTTTGTAAGTAGCCCAATGCTTGCTGGGTACAGAGCTGGATGGATGAATGTTGCGTGGATAAAGTCGGGGAGATGTGGTGGGTTGAAGGAGGAGAATAGAATGGCTGGGAGAGGAGGGGGAGAGAAAAGGGCAGCCAAGAGAAAGAATAACACAAGGCTTACTGTAAAAGAGTGAAGCAAGGTGAGAGGTTTTCTGTCCTGTTCTTCCAGCAAGACCAGCAAGGCCAGAGAACTCTTTGTTTGCCCTGCCAGGTTTCACAGTAAGAGAAGAATCAAACTCAAGCAAAGGGCAAAAATGCATGCTATTGAGGATTGATAGTTGCACCTGACTCTGGGTAAACTGACTTTAATGAGAGCTAGAGATCTACCATGCCAGAGGCGACGATACATCTCTTGTTCCCATGGCCACTCTTCTAAGCCCAGGTACAGTAAGAAAAGAGTGACATACTGGAAGTCAATTAAAGAATGGAAGAAAAGTGACAGTTGAAAGTGAAGAATACTTTAAGATCTTAACTTTCCAGCTTGATTCAGTGAGAGAGAGGTAAGCCTAGAGCACCTAACCACTTACTCAGTCCCACAAGTGATCCTGAAGAAGCGCCGTCTCCATTGCCACAAGATCCACCAGCTTATAGACACTGCTCTTCTCACAAATTTCAATTAGAGAAACATTCGCGCAGGTACAGCGAAACCCAGTTCCGCAGCTCGACCGCAACAAGCGAATCCACGCCGTAATGACCCAGACTTTTACCAGGCAACAGCGAATCCGCCGATGTAGCCAGCAACCTTGCCAACTGCTGAATGACAGCCTGATATATAACCCCCGTGGCATCAGTATCGCCATCCCCAGAGCGACTAGGGCGGATATTTTCCAGGACACTGAGGACATTATGGGCAGCTGACAACTCGGAGCCCTGTCCCGTTTTCTGACAAACGAGATGCACAAAGCGCCGCTGCGGTGTCCAGTGTTAGCCCCGACCTTGTCCCATCAGCGGCTGGAGACCAAGCGCGCAGCATCCGCCGGCCGGGCCGCCACGGACGTCCATGTACTGCAACAGAGCGAGGATTTTGTCGCCACTGATGTGGCGCAGAGCCACGGGACGCCGGACAGCGGGGTTCTCGCTGAGGTATCCGGCGTCTAGGATCCAGCCTACATTGATTGAGCTGGCGGAGAGGCCCTGCGAGTGGAAGTGCGCGGCGAGGCTGTCTTGGAAGTTGCAGGCTACGGCGTAGTTACAGGGACATGACGGAGGAGAGCATGATAAAGAATTCGACGTTGTTGTAGTAGTAGTAGTAGTGATATTTAACGCCCCGGGGATCGCTAGGCGTACGCCTAATGTTCTAGACCTCCCTTGGGGTATAGGGGCGTGCCACCGCTAGGCAAGTAGCCTATCTAAATAAGTCTATATATAAAAAGGCTTTTTATCCCAAAGGGCAACTCTTGCTAAAGCTTATGGGCTAGGCGCCTGTCTTTTACTTACTATTTTAACATGTGGCTGTTAGCAGGTATTATTTATTACATGCTTAAAAGTTTAAATATAGTAGTTTGCGGGGTCTAGCCCTTATATAAAAAAACTGTACTAGGTAAGCTAGTTATATTAAAAAAAGGTGTTTAAAATAAAAAAAAAAAAAAAAACATAATATAATAAAAAAGAAAAGGACTATTTAGCACCAGGCTAAATAATTTTAGTATAAAAATTACCAGGGCGCGGGGAGCCCTAGCATGGGCATATAAACTTATAAAAGTTTATAATCTTTAGTAAAAACGCGAAGGCCTTGGGCTTTAGTTTACTAAGGTACTTTAAGGCCTTAGCCTTAGTTATTAATAGTGCTATAAGGTGCTGGGGCTATTATAGGAAATACTACCTAAAGTAGTAATAAAAAACCAGGTGTTTAGGGCTCTTATTCCTCCCGTAAAAATAGGTAAGCTTAGCGTCTTTATGCTAAAAGTATTTATAATACCACTTAAAATCCCCATGCGAAGACCTAAGTGCTAGCTATTAATATAAAATAAGGCGCCTTAGCACTAGTTCCAGCTATATTTTAACCTAGTAGGGCTCTAACTCCGCGGTAAGCTATTACCTATACTAGGTAAATAGTTTTATAAAGACACCTTCCCACCACTTAGCCTGGGCGGTATAGTATATTTATTTATATAAGCTATATATTCCGCTCGCGGTGGGTTACGCCTCCAGGGAGCCAGTATTTAGGGGGCGTGCTTTTACTAAAATAGCCTTATTAGCTAGCTTATTAGCTAGTTTATTTCCCTTAATATCCATGTGGCCAGGGGACTATTATAGGCAAATTATATATTAATTTATAAGCTAGTATAATATTTAAAAGGCCTAGTTAAAAAATAATAAGGGCTGCCCGCGCGCGTACTAAATTACCAAGGTGCTATTTATATAAAGCTAGTAAACAAAAGCCTTAAAAAGCTTTTTAATTACTATCTTTAGTCCCTAAAGCGCGCTAATAGCCTTAGTATTATATATATAAAACTAGGCGTTAATTACTAATAATTCCTGCGCCTAAAAGTATTATTCACGGTATACTATATAGCTATAGCCTATATAATACATGCCTTGGTGTATTTACTTAAAGCTATTACTAAAAATTACTACCTTTATTATTAATAATACTTACTATTACTACTTAAACTCCTCCGCGGCTAGCTTTTTTATCTTACCACTAGTAAGATCCCTTAGGCATTTTTAAAAGTAGTAAGGGTGTGTTAAAACTAGCCTGGGAGTCTTTAAAAAAAGCACTCCTATTATTTACACCTTTATTTTAGGTTTTTAACATAAACTAGCGCCCCTACCACGCGAAATCTCTAGTGGTGTTACTTATATTACTAGCAGGTTTTAGTAATTTATTAACTAAAATTTTAGGGTAAATTATAATCACACTTCCTCTAGCACTGCTATAATAAAAAAAAGCCTAATATTTTTAAAAAAAATTACTATAAATATTATTTAAAAAACTAGGAGTACACTGCAAGCGGCCAGGGTAAAAATCTTTTTAACTACTTTAATATACTAGCCTAGTTAGGTATTAACCTCTAGGTTTTATGCATGCCTCCCGGGCTTAGTCCTACTATTATACCATGCCTTTATATTATATAAAAGGCTAAAAATAACGCAAGTAATAATTATCTTATAAAAAAAATTTACAGGCAGGCTATGCGCTATATACACTAAATTATAAATATATTAGGCCACCGCGCGGGCTTTAGCTACCTATTTAATAATATACTAGCGCTAAAAAAGCTATTTATTAAAAAAAATACCTAGCTAGCGCAGCGCGGGCTGCTTCTAGCCTAATACCATAATAATAAAAGTAATTATTAGCTAGTTATTAACTATTAGTAAGGGTGCTTTACCATGCTATTTCTAGGTAATATATAATATTTTTAGTTTTTTAGGCGTAAAGGCCACCTTATTTTATTTTTTTTAGGCCAGCATGCTATAAATATCCTTTACTAGAAGTTTATAATTCACATAAAGGAAATTACTCACGCGGTTAAAGTAAAAGTTATTTATATAGCTAAAGCATAAAATTAGGTCTGCTAGTAATAACTTAATAATATATAGTAAAAATAATACTAAAAAAAGGGGCAAGCCCTGCGGTGTATTATAGTATATTAAGTACACTATTATTATAGTAAACTTTAGGCGCACTTTTGCGCTTTATTTACTAAAAAAACTTATAATTAAGGCTAAAAGCGCGCGAGGCCAGCCTTACTTTATTATTTATTAAAGTAGATATTATAGTAAAATAATATTAAAAGCGCTTAAAATATTTATGGTAACCATGGTAACCTCCTAATTTTATAAAAGTACTATTTTTATGTTATAAGTAAAAAAGGCCACTAAGTTTATAGCCAAGCGCTTTAATAAAGTATTATATTATTATAGGCTTAGCACCCCTTACACTAGTATAATAAAGGTAACATAGTATATTATAATTTATTTAAGTCCCTTTCCTAGTACTAATAGCAATGCTATAAGGTGCTAAAATTAAGGTAAAGACTTATTTTTTTTACCACCTTTTAAAAGCATTACTACCTCTGCAAGCTTTTATAATAAGGGGAAGTATTTTAGTTATAAATATTAATTATATAACTTATGTATGGCCCGCCTAACATACTCCTAGCAGGCTTTTAAAATATAAACTATTACCTAGTCCGCCCCGGGGGAGGTGCTGCTTATATTAATAATATTTTTTTTAACCTTTTTTAGTAAAATTTTTTTTGGCTAGTAAAGGTACTTATTACCCTGCTAGTGCTCTAGCGCTAGGGGATTAAAGTTTAAATTATTATTTATGTTAAAGCGTTCCAGCACTACCTTTTATAAAATATTAGCCTTTTCCCGCGTGTTTTTAATTACTTTATTATTTACTAGTAGTAGGGGAGCCTTAAGCCTAGGCTTTAGCCTATACCACGTTATTATTTAATATAATTTTTAATTATTTTTAATACTATTAATTATTTTAGTCTAGTACGCGCGCTTAGTTTTACAAACTATAGCTAAAAATTACTTCTTTTATTTTAGGGTAGGATTTACTACCTAGGCTTAATAATCCTCCGCGTATTTAGTTATTTATTAAGGGGCGCTATGGCTTCCTAGGTTAGGGTGTTTACTAACTACTTATATAGCTTTTGTAATAATATTATTAAGAAATTTAGTATATTAATTAAGCGCCTTTATATTCCCGAGTTCCCCGGGCTAAAAAAAAATATTATTTTATTTTTTATAAGCCTAGCCAGGCGCTTAAGCTTATAATTTAGTACACTATAATAGTACTATTTTAGTATTTCCTCCCCGCGCCCTAGTACCATAGTAACTAAAGTTTAATAATTAAAGCCACTATATAACTTAGGTATTACTAGCATGCAAGTAAAAAAAATATTTAAAAAAATTAGGTTAAAAACA